TAAAATATATTATAAACACATTTTAAGAGTTAACCTTATTAAGTTATAACAGTATATTAGTAAATAACACAATTGGTGCGTATGAAGTGTAAAGAATAATAATAATTAAAAAAAAAAAAAAACAATTTTAGAAAATAATATTTTACATAGTTTATACTAGTATGGATTATGTATATGCAAAAAAAAAACAACTTATTAAGAGTTAAAAAAAATTATAAAATTAAGTTCATCCCGTTTTAAGGTGAAGCATATTTTGAAACTGCATTATCTGGGTCTACTGTTATGTCATTATGGATTGAAAGAAGAGCTCCTGTGACGTCTTTTTTCACCGGTTTTTAATCTCAAGTATGTTTTTATGTGACGTAAACTTGAAAAAGTTCGTTCTGCTGTCGCTGTTGATACTGGAAGTGTAACGAAGATTTCAAACAATTTTTTTATACTTGGATAAAATGTATCATCACGTTCAGAGAGGACTTGTAGAACATTTAATAGTATATCATTTGTATCTCGTTTTAACCATTTAATTTTCGAGAGCAAAATTCTTCTTTTAATCGATCAAAATCTGGTAAAACGGAACTATACAATTGTAAGCATTTTTCAGACGACCGTTTGGTAGCATTTGGAAGTTTTTAAGGAAGATAAAATGTCTTCGTGATTAACAAAACGTTCGGTCCTATGAGTCATTATATGATCTAAAAATGGTATACATCCTTAGTGATATTCAAAAAGAGATGTTGATGGCATGTTACTCCGATTTTTTTTTCGTTTTTATTGTCGAGCGGTATATTTACGTACCAACCACGTTAAAAGTGCACGATTTCTATTCTACATCTTATTTAATTCAAACATGGGCATAGTATATTAATATTAATCTGACGAGGAAATTTGTTTGTGGGTTATTTTAAGTTTTAGGCCATATTTTTCATTTTATGATAAAATATATTTTTTACATTTTTAGAGAAATATGAATAAATTAAATTAAATTGATTTATTTTTTTTACAATTGTGATTGTATAGTCTATAGTCTATTATTCTCGTAACGTTATGTAATCTGTTTTTATAACAACGCGAATAACAAATTAAACTGTTCCAATTATTATTATACCTTTGGTCCCAGCGCTTAATTGAATTTTGAATAGTGCTAAATACAAGTCAATTCGATTTTGAAAATCCATACGCTTGTGCTATTTAAGACCAAACAAATTTATTTGTTTAAGAATTTTAGATTCCGAGCATAGCGAAGGATCTATTGGTTTTACAATGTTGTTTATTTCTTTTTTTTGTCTAGTCCGTGCACGCGTTTGTTCCTAATAAATTTGTTCCTATGTTTAAGTGTAGCAACTTCTTCTGAAAGCTCAAGTTGTCTAGATTGCATTTTAAACAGGTCATTTGTTTGATTTTCGACGCCATTTTTTAAATAAAAGCACTTAAATGGGATATAAACGCAGGAAAATGTACAATTTCACGATTTCATTGTTTTAAAAAAACACGGACGACGTTTTCTACCAGAAAAATTGATTTAATAGAAGAAATCCCAAGATACCTTTTTTGTTGTTTTTTAAAATTACTTTCTTACGGTATCATCGCCAAAACTTTTTAGCCACTTTTGAGCTTCTAAGGAATTATAACTTTTGCTGTAATTCGGTTATGAATATACGCAGAGACTTAAAACTTGGTAATAATACTTATATTGGACTTACCTAGACGTGGTAAAATTTCCAAAATTATTGGGCATCTTATTTTTTTTTTTTTAAGCGTTTTGAAATCAAATTTAAACGAATATCGCAAAAAAAGTTACGGCACTTTGAATTATGTATTACCGAACTGCGCTCGGAATTGTCTTTCGTCAAGCAATGGTTTATCGTTGTTTACAAATATAAATGAAAAAACCTTATGTATTCTATCTTTTCAAATTCTCACTTACAACAGTGGCTACTCCCACCCCTAGTATTAGCTTTTTCTCTTTTGTTCTTTGTTTTCCATTATGAATTTATCAAAAACTAAATTTGTTTATGTGGATTCTTTGTTTTAGAACATAAATGTGAGTGTTTTTTTTTTCTAAATGCTTTTAGTACATCAAAAAGCGGGTATTGATAATAACTATAATATACTGTTAATATTATAAATGTGAAAGTAAATAGTAAAATATATGAACTACATCTATACGAAGTTTAAGGCAAATCCGTTCAGTAGTTTTTACTTGAAAAACTAACAAACATTCATCCATGCATTAATTATTCAAACAAACTTTCGGATTTATAATATTAATAAAATAGATACAGTTTGTTTGTTCGCATTTCTAAATAATAATAAATATTTCGTCTAGATTTTATTTTACTTTTCGTATGACATTACAATGAATGGCCCAATGACCTTGGATTTAAATTCCGTTTTAGGAAGGTGATATGGGGTAGGGGGGCAACTGGTATATTTGATTGGGGGCAACAGGCAAACTAACTTTTCATCAATTTTTAAAGTCAAGCAATTTAACTGTTTCGTAAGAATTATAAATATCCATAAATTAACGTATACGAATATATAATAGATATTTGTATATGTTGAATATTTATTTGAAAAATCATATCTTTTACCAATTTTTGATACTTATATATCTGAGGTATTTTTTGAGACAAAAAAAAAAATTATATTTAGCGAAGTTATCTGGAAAAAAAAATCAATAGCACTGAATCTTGTATTAAAAATAGTCAGGTGTTGGAATCTGAAAATTGAAAAATATTAAATTGTATTGCACATGCACGCACCGAATGGGTTATAAATTTGAAATTTGTTCTAACGGAATTCAATCACAAGGTCATTCAGGTGAAATATTTAGAGTTACCTGGAGACGTAAACATGTTACATTTATAACTTAGGTAGATGTTTGATATTAAAATTTGAAGGTTTTTTTCCATTAGATTCATACCTACACTCTCTACAGGCCTCTATACACTCTATTGTTTTAACATCTAAATATCTTATAAGATAGTAGGTAAACTAAATGCAAAAGTATAACATAATATTAACTGTAAAAAAAATATAACAAACAGTAATTACTATATTATTTATATATTTATTTTTGGGAATTTATCGAATTATTTGTTCAGTATTTACACAAGGCGATCAACCTAATGTAAGACACTAATCAAAAGTATTTAACTTTTTTCGGAATTTGTTTTGAGAACATTTTAGAAACGATTAGTATAATTCTATAATTTAACATTTACGATATTTTTTTTCATTTGAGGGTGAAACCATTACCCACGTTTGATATTCCTGTAGCAATCTATATTAAAATTTACATAGGTAGGTAGATAAAGTATATATTAATATGAATACAATTTGTTATTGACATTTTTATTTTCTGTCAATCGTTGATGAGGTATTCCACTAATATGCTTACCATTTTGACGGTAGGGGTGAGCAGTGAAATATATGCAAAATTGCAACATCGAACATTGGTGCAGGTGAGCCGTATAGGAGATCATTTTTTAACTATATACGGAGTTAAATTATTGTACTGACAGAGCGAATTTGTCGTACTTCGTTATGTGGCCAATTGTTAACAACGTCCATTCATCAAGTTATCAAGTAATATTCATATTTATTAATATTCAAGTTACGGCTTTATTGTTCTCAACTACCTATCTATCTGTTTCAGTACAATAAGCCCTTCTTGCACTAATGGTATGAAATGATTTTTTATTAACTCTTCTCTTGCCCAAATTTAAAAGTATAATATTTTGACAACAGGTTGACCAATATTTATTCAAACTAAGTCTGCATCTATTTTGGGATTTTTATAATAGGTTGCAATTTAAAAATCAAAATTATGAAGTGGTTTCATGCCTTAAAATAAAGGAGACAAAAATAAAATATATTTTATATTTTAATGTTTATTAAGTTTAGAATTTTATATATGTATATATTTATTATATAATTAATTTATTTGATACGTTTCCTAAAAAACAAATTCCATAAAAAATTAAAACTTTCCGAGATCATGAGTATATCGCGTTAATTGTTAGCGCGCTAACGAAACTAAGTTTACGAATTTTCATATAATATCGCAATTTGAACAACGGGTAACACATTTGTATTAAATTTAGAAAAATTTTTGTTGAAACGATCGAATGTTTGTGTATTGTTTACGATAGTGGAACATTAAAATAAAAGAACAACCATTTACAATTGTTTTAAGTTTTTAGAAATGATCAGGGGTCACTTGAAGACGAAGAAAAACCACTAACTTCGAAAAACGATGACAGTCGAAAAAGTTTAAAACTTGGTACGGTCAGATAACACGTAAATGGCGTTTACGTGTTCAAGATAGTATGTCAAATACAATAAGAGTATGTAATATAGTTCAGTACAAAGCATTTTGAAATATAATTTAGTTATTTTGCCCGAATATCAATGGAAAACAGAACATTTATTGCCACGAAATTTTAATAAAATATTAAATACTCTATACATATTTATTATTTAACTATGCCTAGCCTTCCTGACGAGACGTTAATGCGATATATTTTATTTTAGTTTCAATGGAATAAGCCTGGGAAAACTTATAAAATTAATGACTGTTATATTCGAGAACCGTAACTAGCCTTGGACCATCTCAGACCATTTTTTATGTCCCCGTTCAGAAGGAAATTGTCCTTTGAGCATCTTGAATTACTGAAAATGCAATCTTCTGTTATTTGATTTTATGAAGGTATTTGTTCTTAATATCTGGTAATTTAGCTAATCAAAGAAAGGCCGTCAAATTCGACCATTTAATTTTGAATATCCCCAAAACTTGTTAATTCTCAAACAGCCTGTTAGGTATTAGTATTAGTTTATACCTATTTCATATTATGTTACTTATAACGTTATATTTAAGCCATACGAAATAATAATTAGTTTATAAACATAGTATGCGAATTAAATTGTTAATTTATATTACCCGCGTTACGAAAGTTTTGTATTCAAAACTGAATTTTTTCAGCTAGTCTGTCTCATGTTCACAGTATACAACACTCGTTGAATAAACCGCGCGCATATTCCTTGGTGGCTGTGCACAGACCGTGTTTGTCGTCGTTACGTATCGTACGGGTGGTTTTTTCCCGTGATTTCGTTCTCGAACAAATCTTTCTCAGCTCCCTGTACCGGGACTCGTAAGAACTGTACATTTCAAGCATTTCCTGAATTTTCTCGCGGTGTCCATCGATTTCGTTCAAAGCACTCAGCAAGTTTGGCATGTCGTTTAATAGCGACTGGAGTCCCAAATTCATAACAGCATGTTCCACCTTAGAATACGAATACCCTTCGTTCTCGTAAAACGATTTTAATTCCATTACGTTCGCGTTCAAAACGTTGCATAGCCTCGACAGCTTCACAATGCTCTTGAGGTCCGGGCAACTTGCTGATTTTTCATTACGCCCGGGTTTGTCTTCTGTAACGTCCACGGCCGCCGCTTTTTCTGTCCGCCCGGGTTTTTCTCCTGCAGCAGGAACCACGATCGGAATGTTCGAGACCACCTGCGTAGCTGGCATTTCTTCGTCCTCACGTGCCAACATCGCCGGCACCCTGTTCTCATTGGCCGCGGACGGACCGCGCGAATCGATTAATTCGGGTCTTTTGCCGTCGTCCGACGTCTTCGTTACCTGATGGATGGCGTGAACGGTGAAATCGGTTTGGTCCTGGTGTACTTCCATTTTACTGCCGGCGGCCTCGTGTAATATTAGGCATAGCATGTCATAGTTATGCCGGACTGAAGCCGCCATCGGATCTGTCAAGTTCTGATATTGGCCGTAATAAGACGTATCCCGCGGTACCAGGTTTTTTATGCATATTTTTGTATCAAGAACCATGTTTTCGTATTGACTGATAAAACCTAGGTATGTCTAGACTGTATATAAGGACTTCATTTACCAAATATACATAACTTCAAACACTGTCACTGTAATTAGTTAATGTTCGTGAGAGTTTTTTTTTTTTATAAATATCAATTGTTTATTTCGTAGTCAATACCTAGTTTATAATATTATTATTTATATCTTTTTAATATTTATAAAATATATACGTCACTCTAGAAACCGGTCAGGTGGACAGGCGGATTCAGTATGAACTATTGTAGGGAATATTCAACTTGTTTCTTTCCAAAAACATACGTTAATTTTAGTTCAACGAATTTATTTAATCACTTTATCCTGACAAATTTGTCATTGTCATAATAAGAAAATATGATCATATCAAAAAATAGCCAAATTTTACAGTTTTACATTTGTGTTTCACATTTATGATGCATGATGTTTAATGTTTACCCGTTAATTACTGTTTGATTTAATTTAATTTGTTGATTTTTTTTTTTAAATGAACAAGTCGAATAGTTACTGTTATATGGTTATTGTACTTACAAAAATTAGTCAAACAAACAATTTTATAATTTCCCTAATCATTCTTATAAAATAGATTTAAAAATAAATAGATGAAAGCTGTAAAACGATTAGAATAAGTATTTCACATACTAACTTAAAATATTTGAATAAATTATTTAAAAATAATTATCTTATTTATATAATTTGAAATTTTCTATTGAAAACGAAGTAAATGGCTGATCATATGTTGTCCACATTTAATTGGAAATTCTAGATCAAAAGACCCACTCAATTTACATAAGTCCTCTGATTAAAAATGTAAAATTAATAGATATTAAAGTGCACATAATTGTGAAATGTTTTATCCCAATCTGTAAAGATTACAATAATTATTATTTTAGTAAAATTAATTTTTGAGAAGCCAATTCAGATTAAAAATATTAGCACATGAATTGGATTTGAATTAAAACTTTCTATTTAGCTATAACTTTGTTGGTTTTAATGTTAATACATCAAGCAACAGTCTCAATTATTCATTATAATTTGACTCTTTTTTTTTTTTTTTAATTGTAGATAACTCAAGTTATCTTGAATATAACTATTGTTTATCTTGTAAAAAAATGCACGACTTTGATTGCATTAAAGATATGCAGTCAACTCAAAGATTAACTAAAATAACGTTTAATGTTTTGAATAAGTCGTTTTAATTATTATCTGATTTAAATAAAAATTAATCGTAATAAAACAGAGATATGAATTCATTGTAGAAGCCATTTACAATGGAATAAAAATTATATACATGCAATATAATAGAACATATAGACGTTGGGAAATATTTTTGGCAGAATATAATAAAATACACTGAGGAATGGTAGTTGTGATCGGGACGTGGGTAGTATGTATACAAGGTTTTTTTTTATTTTTATCAAGAACCAGCAATTTGCTCGGAGAATTTTAAGTGAATTTGATTTCTGTTTTTTTTTTTTTTCAATCATATTTGATCGCATAAATATTAAAGTTATAAAGATTTATTTTACAACATTTTATTAATTGTTTACCCTAAATCCATATTAAATTAGTATATACTTTCGTTTTTCAAATAGGAATCCCCCCTCTCTTTTTGAGCACTAATTCGAATAGAGAATATTTTTCTCGGAATTTGTATATGCATAACACTAATATAAGATTTACTGTTATGAGTTACACAAATTTCAAGTTTAGATTGAAGGAGAAAGGAAAGTAATGTATTACATATTTGTTTTTAAATGCTAAATTACTAACTCTTCTATACTCTTTCTAAAATCAACACCTGTTGACAAGTTCTTAAGGCATACCTCAAAGACGCATCTTTGGAAAATTGTACGGAAATCCACAGTAAGACCAATATGTGCATAAATCTGCAGCATGATAAGGCGGTAGCCACATTTTCAAAGCGGCTATTGTTCATTAGTGAGGAAAAGTACCAGTTAATTCTGCCACAAAGTTTATCTCATTTCCATTACATTATTGTATTATATTTTTAGTTATAGAAAAATTAGTTTAGACGTTTTTCTCGTAAATTGTTACCAATTAACAAAAATCACCAATGGCTTTGCGAACATGCAATTTTGGCAGCAAAAAACACCGACAGCAGAGCAATTAACTACATAATTCGAAAACGAATAACCGGAGAGTCTGTAAACTAAATCGATTAATGGTGTCATGAATCCCAAAGAAGTCGTAAATTATCTAACTGAGTTTTTAAATTCGTTTGATGTTTCTGGAATGCTACCACATAGATTATCGCTCAAAATCGGAGTACAAATTATTCTTTTGCGTAAAATTAATCCACATCGTTTGCACGATGGAACTAGACTGGCTTTCAAGACATTTTTGCAAGAATGTCATCGAAACAATAATTTATTTTAAATAGAAAATCGAAGGAGAGGATTTGCAGATCCCACGCATTCCCACCGACATGTCATTTGATTTCAAATGACTGCAGTTTCTCATTCGTCTTACTTTCTCAATGACTATCAACAAGGAACATCAAGTGTGCGGGTTGAATCTATAAAATGTACGCTTTTCACATGGCCATTGTTGTATGTTTACGAGTGGGACAGCCAAAAAATGTATTTGTTTTTCCTGAAGACAGAAAAACTAGAAATATTGTCTATCCAAAAGCACTCGAATAAAATATAATTATTAACGTTAACAGTCAAAAATAAGGGGGTTGAAAAAGGGAGCATAGCCACGATATTTGAATTCAGACCGGTCGATGTATTCCCTTCGTCACGAAATTATACAATCCCAAAGAGTATACTTACACTGTGTTTCACCCCAACACACTACTACCCTACCATTCAACCCTCCCTTAATCTTAAAACTTATAGCTTAACTTTTAACTTTTCAACTAGTTCTAACTTGTCCAGCTTTGATTATTTGTAGCTTTTATTCGCGTACAACTTATTGGTGTACAATATTTTCTTTTACGTACATAATAACGTGTATAATGTGAGAAGGGGTGAGTAATGGAATTAAAACGAACCCGCCGCATAATTCAATACATAAAAGACATAAAGGCGGGACCCTTCGAAGTTTATGCAGACAAGGAGATAATCTGAAAAAGGATCTCGCATAGCGGTTATTTTTTTTAAATTTAATTATTCGTAGTAATAAATCGTAATATTTCGTATAACATTATATTTAGATAGGTACTGAGCGTAGAAAAAATTTTATTAGTTTGACGAAAATGGGTGCATTTTTTTTTTAAAACTAAAACGAAGAAATACTTTTTGATAAGTAAATTTGTTCATTATTCATATCTTAAATTATGCGAATTTTTTGCCCAAATAAATTACCATCTTGTGTTGATTTATTAAGTATAGATTTAAAAAAGCATTGAAAACAATCATAGTATTTATAATCTAAGATATACATATAATTAATCAGGAGTTCTTAACAGTCTATAAAGATGAGGTATCTTGGTAAGTACAGAATATTTTACTTTTATCACAGATAATATTAAACATTTAGTGTAATCTGTGCTTTTATCATGTCCATTAAAATGCATGGATACCTATTTTGTAAATTCTATTAATGGATGAGATAAGTCTACATGACATTTCTACAAAAGTTGGATTTCAAGATCCAAAAACAATCTAAAAACAAATTTTAAAAGTATAAAATTACTATAAAATCAGTAGGAAAAACGATATTAATCGGCCCCTCTAGGTGTATATAGCGCTTCTAGCGGTACACTCAACTGATACAAATATTATATTTTCGTTTATGCACCAATGGCTGGCGAAGGAGAATGTGTACACCTAATAAATACACCTTGCTAATACTAATCCGGTCAGTATCCTTTTTTTTTTTTTCATTTTTCACGATTTATCAGCGTCACATACAGTATATAAATTATAAATTACCTTGTATATGATAACGGATCCAGTTTTTATTTACAATCGGTACATTTATTACCATGTGTGAAATAAGAGAGCTCTACAATATTTACTCACTTTTTTTTCGTAACGCGTGTTTTATGAATACACATTTTTTTTTTAGTTTATCATTAACATCATCGGATTTAACGAAAAACCCGCACAAATTGGACGACCTTCGACAACATTAACAAAGCAAGAACATATTTTGAATAAAATATCATATTTCTACGTCAAAGAACACAGTTTTAATAATAAAATTAATACCAAATTGCATTTGTTATACATTATCGATTTAAAACTTAGTTCATATATAATATTTATTTATATATTTCAATTTTGTCTTAATATCAAACATCGAATCATACTTCTATCCCCTAACATTGTAGAAAAGAGCATATTTAGGTTTTTTTTAGGGGACGAATGGCAAACATTTTAGATCACAGATCAGTGGAGAGTTACGCTTCCTATAACCCTTTCTTCCAACATACAAAATTAACACCTTGCTTTTAAAAAATATAACCCATTTTTTAGATTCTAAGTTGAGTGAGTAGTACTACTAGTAAATATAGGCTAATATTACGCTCTATAGGCCACGAAAACTACGATTGATATAATGTAATTACAATTAAAATTTTTACTTTTTAAATGTTTTAAATAAAGTATTACAACAAAATCAAAAATAATTTGTCATGTATACTAATCTATATCGTACATTTTACAGAACGAAAATGTGTGTTATTTCTTTTTATGGGACGATACGGTTTTGAAATTATATTAACAAATAAGTGTTGAATATCATTTTTTTCATTCCAAATATTGCGATATTCCGATAAATATGAAAATTCTAATGACTGTTTAAAGTATTGAAATTCTAACAATATTGTCTATTCCGTCTAATATATTTCCATTAAATATAATAATGTTTCAATGGCAGATTTCCCAGACGTTGTACGTTAATTCGATTCCTTAAAACGTTCCGAGTGAAATAATTCCAATAAATCCGTGATAATAACCGCTTAATACTATTATAAACTGTGCCTATTCCAGAAATGATCGTGTCGGGGTTTT